AGAGAGGTCAGGGAATATTACTATCTTTTAGTTTGCTTGCAATTGGTGGTTTTTAGTGGACTAATGGATAGGATTCAGTAGTTATAAATATATTTTAGTGAGTATGTATTCATCTACTAGCCTCTCATTTCCTATAAATTTATGTTTGAATTATAAAAATGAAAAAAAAGGGCTTGTTGTTTTTTTAAAAAATTGTCCTTGGTAATGCTACATTCCTGTAGGCAGGTAAACTGTGTTCCGTGGGAATCCTGTTTTATATGTAATTTATATTAAGCATTTTTCTCCACTGTCTTAGGTTTGTCTTTTAATAAAATAACACTGAATTTTCATATCAGCAGGAGAGGTAGATAAATTTGAATAGAGAAGCTGATTTAGCAGTCATTTAGTTAGGAGATGGGGATTTTAGAGATGCTACTTCTAAAAGTGGAAAAGATGAGGATAATCTGGCTTTTTTTCTTTTTGGCTTCTATGGAACAAAAAATTAGAGCTGAAAAGGAACAAAGCCTGGAATGCATGACAATGACCATTTCTTATAGGTGAAATGAATTGTGAATATGATTTCATTTACACCTGCATGATGCTGCCTTTGAAGCTCATTACCATTTCCTCTGGCATTCACTTAATGAACATATGCCCGAGAGAGGCAGAATGAACCACAGCTTGTTTCTTAAAAAGTAAAGCACTACTCTTGCCATCACCCCAGCATACTTAATGAATGTCCTTACCCCAATTTTTAAGATTAGGAGTTTCTAGGCATCCAAACCTTGTTAGCTTAAGCAAAACATAATAAGGTAAATTTAGTATTTAAAAAAGGGCCCAGTTTAAGCCAAAGCTACGCACAAACGTTTGTATTGCTTTCTGTTTGGGATTGTAAGTGATGGTGTCTACTTTGAGTAACTCAGTCATCAACAGCTGTGTTTCATCCAAAGTGAAAATATCAGGAGAAGAGAAGGGAACATCTTTAATGAGTTGGGAAGGGAAATGTGCAATCTTAGGTATCAGGGATCATCCAGAAACGCAAGGAATGGGTATAAGAAAAAAACCAAAACAATGTCAATATCTTGAAAACCTAATTTTTAAAAATATTTTGGCATTTAGGTACAAGATTGGAGGTACACACTGTAAAGTTATTAAAATAATGAGCGAAAGTTAGAAGTACTGTATTTAGATGCTTATGATTTTGTTTGGCATTTAAAAATCAGTTTATTGCTTGCTTACATTGGCATGTGGGTGCGGAAGAAGACTATTTTTAAAAGTTTTGAAATTGAATTTACTGATCTGGGCCGTCGATATCATTTACTCATAGGTACAATATGAACTGATGGCCTTTCAGATATGTGGAATTAAATATTGATTCTAGGGAGGTTCCAGAATTTAAAAGCCTTATGTTATTAAAGTTTATTACTTTACTTTCTCTCAACAGCAATGGAAGTTTTATTGTATTAAAATTAGTCAAAGAAAGCAATGATTTTTTTCATTTATTATATTATGCATATAGCTGGAAAAATAATATACCTAAGAAATATTTGACAAGGGCATAGGTGTTTATTTAAGATTTGAAGTTTTGTGATTTATGTAACATATAACAGGCAAGGTATTATACAGTATATTCATAGGTAGAAAATAATGGTAGGTTATTTTATTATTTAAATAGTTGATCGGTGCTTGCTGGGCTCTATCCATTTTGCATTTTTATTCAGCGTTTGTATATCTGGCTCTTTGCCTTAGGGAGTCATGGAATTAAAGACAAAAGCAGGTGCAAAATGGTTTCATGACCAGAATAATAGCATTGAAACTCACTATTAGAATATTTTTTTAGTATAGTGAGTCCAGAGGCTAATGTCATGGGTTTAGAAAGGCTTCCATTTTAACATATATTTGACAGCTTTTTTAAAGTTTAGAGTGCACTGATATGTGATGTATCTACTGCAACTACATTTGTGTAAAAACTCCTTAGTTTTAAAAAGTAATAAGGAAGTTGGAAGATGATGAAAGAGGTGCCAGACTTGTTGGCTTTGGAGTTTCTTGCCTTTCACTACCTCTCTCCCCCTACACACACACCCCTCACTTACATCACTAATTTCAGATCTGAACCCCTCATTTTATCGAAGAGGAAGTAGGAGACTAAAAAGTTAGTCATCTAGGTCCTGGCTGGTGTGACTCAGTGGGTTGGAGTGTCATCCCATGGACCAAGAGATCCCAGTTCCATTCCCAATCAGGGCACATGCCCAGATTTTGGGTTCAATCCCCAGTAGGGGACGTGCAGGAGGCAGCCAATCGATGTTTCTCTCTCATTAATGTTTCTATTTCTCCCTCTCCCTTCCTCTCTATCAAAAAATCAATAAAAACATATTTTTTTAAAGAGTTAAGATTTAACTTCAAGCTCATTGGGAAACTATTCAAAGGTTTTCAGTAGTGCATGATATGACTAGGTATGATTTATGAAGATCAGACAGAATAGAGGTGGGCAGGAATAGAGGCAGGGAAGAGGAGATTATTGAAAGAATCCAGAAGAGAAATGATGGCTTGCTTAGTGGCAGGAAACCAACTCAAGATATACAGTTTATCCTTGAACAGTACAGGTTTGAATTGCAAGTATCCACTTATATGTAGATTAATTTCAGTAAATATATTGGATAACTTTTTTTTTTGGAGATTTGGTATCAATTACACTAGGCTACCATAAAGCAATTATATTGTTGCTTCTTTGTTATCAGTGCATGAATTGTTATATCTGTAAATAAATATGGATTTCTTTTTATAATCTTTTTTGATATCTAGTATTATAATATCTACAGTATTTTATATCATAAAGACAATATTGACATAGGTACTGAGGCTATTCACCTTGTAAATAGATGATGTAAACACAGTATTGATAAATGCAGTACTGTACCATAAATTTATTTTCTCATGATTTTAATTACATTTTCTTTTCTCTGTCCTACTTTATCGTAAGAATACAGTATAAAGTAAATGTAACATACAAAATATGTGTTAATCAACTGTGTTATTTGTAAGGCCTCTGGTCAACAATAGGCTATGAGTAGTTAAGCTTTTGTGGGAAGTCAAAAGTTATATGCAGATTTTTGACCATGTCAGGTGTTTGGTGCCTTGACCCTTGCATTATTCAATGGTCAGTTGTATTTTGGAAGAATATATTTTTAATATATATTTTAAAAATTA